TTGCGCCAAAAGGTAGAAGATACTGGTAGACTTTATGCGACCGTGGCTGCAAGGCATGTTGACAGTGAAACGCCGTTGAATTTTGAAACCAAATTCAACCAATTTACGAGATCAGTGTGCTACGACATTCAATGATCATATTCCGGTTTTCTTCCAACATTCCCCATTTTACCAATAAGCTACGGAATTTGAATTAATTTATAGAGAAGCTTGCGTACGATTAGTTTCGTTTTCAGAGGAACTAGGCTTAGATGACTCAGCGCGCAATGTTACCCCTGTTGGGGCTTAGCTTCCTTAGCTTTTCACAAATTGGCCAACTTTGTAAGGATTTGAATTTGCAAATTTCTTTTCTAAAATCTGAAATCGCTAATTTACTTGATTGTCGAAAGCGTTTCTGATGTAAAATGGACCAACAAAATTTCAAAGCAATCCGAAAAAAAACGACACTTTCTTTACATCTTTCAATTTCTGTTATCTTTAAACCCTGCACAATGGGATAATGAGGTTAGAATGACCTAGTGTTTGCTTTGTTATAAGCCAGAACTATTTCATGAAGTCGCTTATCTGAAAAATCTTGAGAGTTTTTCGCTCACTTTCCTCGCTCTTGCATCTGCTGGGAATTACTAGATTGAGCTTTGAAATTTAGAAATCAGATTCCTAAAATTAAAATTCAGCTGCTTTACTTAAACTAATTTTGTGTTGATGACTTCTTGAGCGAACAATATTCTGTATGAGATGAATTTACAGGGTTGAGGTCAGCAGTCAGCGCAGCCAATTAAGCGGTGTCTATCCAATGGCAAGTGAGAGCAGGGTGTGAGGCAACGACAGCGAAGAGGTGTGAAAGGTCAATCCTGACTAAAGGTGCACACCCCTTCGTATAGTTAAGAGGTGACTCTTAGGACCCCTGCGATTAACACAATCACCTCCTTTTTTTTCAATATACATGCTCAGAAGGCGGCATGTCTCCTTTCTTGACAAAGATTTATTCGCCGTTTTTCGTTTCACACATAATTTTATTAACAAACAACAAAACAACACAGGTGATTAATCAACAAACTTTACCGAACAGTCTTCTCTACAGTTGTCCTTCACTCCAGGCTTCGTTGATTCTACTGGCAGATGCAACAGCATTCGGTTTTGAGCTGAACTTGCACTCATGTAGCATGAGCAACCTTTTTCGCTCACTCGTAAGCTCCATGTTGAGGCAAATAAACGGGTTTTGTACACCATCAATTGATGCCCAACTGATTTGTGCGCAGCGACTCACAGGTCAATTTTAAACCTCGAACTAATCAGCAACAAATCTAACAGCCATAAGCCCGTAAAAAGCTGCTACAATTTCCGCACGACCCAGTGAAGAAGTGAGGGATGACCTAAGCGGTTCCAGCGTCTTTTTTATTTATCTTCGTAAATTGAGAAATATACTGAGTAGAATAGTCCAAGGCAGAAGTAAATCGCAACCAAGCATGAATGGAGGCAAGTGTAACATTAGGTTAGAAAACGTCCTGAAACACCGTTGCCCATTTTTGCTTTATTTTATCTTTTTTGCTTTACAAAGTGCCGACCAGCGGTTATCTACCATGAGCGTCCACAACTCGTCTCTAACACTCAGAAATTTTTGCGAGGCTTTTCTTAAACGGGCGGATAGCGGGCGTTTGGAAGGAGACGACCTTGGCTTGCAAAGTTGAATTAACCGTAATAACTTCGTATAGCATACATTATACGAAGTTATACGGGAATATTATTATTACTTTATTATTATTATTATTATTATTATTATTATTATTATTATTATTATTATTATTATTATTATTATTATTATTATTATTATTATTATTATTATTATTATTTATTATTATTATTATTATTATTATTATTATTATTATTATTATTATTATTATTATTATTATTATTATTATTATTATTTATTATTATTATTATTATTATTATTATATATTATTATCGGCTAACGAAGAAATAAACAGTACATCAACTTATTTAGTGCAGATGTCCGATACAATAAAAGAAAGCGAAGAGAATTCAGCGCTCGATATTGCTCACTATAATGAGGGAGAGAGCAGAAACCGCGAGGCGGAGTGTGAACTTGATGGTGAGAGCAGTGGCAACACTGCAAGTCGCGCCAGACATCAAGCGGCTCCGGATACCATTGTAGTAGGTCACCAACACCATCAAGGCCCACAGTCGGCGTAGGAGGGGAGGGGAGATGACTGAAAGAAGTAGAGAAAAAAGGAACTCATCAGGGAAAAAAGCTCAGGAAGCAATGTCATGAAACGAAATTACCTAAGAGCATATGAACTAGGAAAAAACACCATAAATAGAGATAGTACTAAACATAGTCACTGAGTATTGCCAGTGTCCATATGAAAAAGGAAGAAAACAGTGTGAAGTGTGTTCGCTTCTGGATCTTATTGGACAAATTTCAAGTTTCTGTTCTCATCGTCTATATGTAATCACCGTTTATTTTGGAATGGATGTGCTGTGAAATATCAAACCACCATTGGGGCAACAGATTTTCTTAAGTTCCCTTACTAAATTGAAACTACAGAACTAGAGTCCATCACCGAAGGCGGCAAGTCGTTCCAGATAGAAATGACCCTCTGTGTGAAGGAATTACGGAATTCTGACGATCTAGTTTTTTCCCTTAGCATCCTGAAGTTATGCCCGCGGGTACGTCCAATAGTCACCGATCTACTGAAAATTATGTCGAAGTCAACGTCTAGTAGTTTATGTGCAAGCTTGTAAACACATTCGTAATCGAACATTTTTCTTCTCATTTCTAAAGTGTTAGCCCTAGCAACGATAGTCTTTCTTTATAAGAAAGCTGGATAATCCATGCGGGCAAAATTTTTCAGTAAACTTCGCCTGGACCTTCTCTATGCGCTCAACTAGAAATTTGTTTGATGGGCTCCAGATCACTGAACAATATTCCAGTAAAGGCCGAACGTATGTCGTGAATAGTAAGAATAGGGTGTCTAGTCGTCTGGTGGTGAAAGCACGCAAAATGAAATTGGCTCTGGAGCTCGCTAAGTTTACGACATTGTTGATATAATCCTCAAAACTAAGTGAGCTAGAAGTACAATATTCCTTAGAGAAGTCGATATACGCTACAAAAACCGACTTCCTTTTATCAACGGCATTTTGCCAAATAGGAATAGATGAGAGAAGTGCTGTTGTAGTTGATTTCTTTGGAAGGAACCCGTGTTGATAAGGGCTTATGAGATCATTGGAAATGAGAAATTCTCTGATCTGACTACAGACTATTCTTTCCATGACTTTGCTCATTGAGGCGGTGAGGCAAATTGGTCTGTAATTTGTCACATATTTTTTGGGTCCCTTCTTATGTACAGGGCGAACTAAACCGAGACGCCATAGAGCAGGAACATCACCTTTAAGCATGATCCGATTGAACAAATAGGTTAGGGCCGGAGTGAGACCGACGGCTGCCTTTTTGAGAAAAATGTAAGGGAGACCGTCCGGAGAGGTTGAGCAGCGCAATGGTAGACTGTTCAAAATACGAAAAACGTTCTCGTTGTTGATATCAATCCAATCAAGACTCGAGTTAGATGAACTAGAAAGATTTTCGGGCGCTAGTAACGGGCAGTCTTTATAGAACGTTTGGAAGTGTTCAGCGAAGGCTTCAGCTTTGTCATGGTCTGATAGGCACTGCTTCCCTAATGAAGAAATGATTGTCGCGAAGGTCGCTGATGACTTCAGCCTAGAATTACAAAAACTCCAGAATCGCTTAACATTCCTCGAGCGAGCAACTTTTTCTTCACGTTCCAAACTTGCAAGTTTTCTTTTTAGTACCAACGAGAGCTCATTGTACTTTTGCTTGTGAAAGTAGTTTTCACTTTTGTAGAGTTTTTCAACTAGTGTCTTCAATCTTGACAGGCGTCTTGGTAGGCGCTGCGTTCTGTCGCTTTTGTAGCAGAAAGGAACAAAACGAGAAATCAAAAAGTGACAGCAGCTCATCAGAGCTAAGTAGCAGTCATCTATGGTCGCACAGCTGTCGAAGAGCTGTTGCCAGTTCACTCGAAGGAGATAATCGCAAATAGCATCATAGTCTCCTTTGGCGAAATTGATAAGGAACCTTGGAGGGGAATTCGGTTTAGCAAGAGACAGTGAGAAGGTAACTGTTGCATGATCAGAAGTAGAGAAAGGTGCTCCAACTAGGACGCCAGAAATGAGCTCAGGTGTATTGGACAGGATAATATCTAAAAAATTGGGACCATGTGTAGGTTCCGACACTAGTTGTGTGAAGCCGTTAGCTCTTGCAAAATCAGCGAACAGAAATCCCTGGTTCTTTGAAGTCATTTTTGCTATTGTTTGGGACTGCTGAGACCACTCTATTCCACAAAAGTTAAAATCACCGAGGATAATTAGGGGTGAGCGATTTTCACTTAGTTCTTCGAGATAAGAAAGAAAATTTTCAAAAGCATCAACAGAGCAGGATTGACTACGGTAACAGAGAACAATGACAGTTTCAGAGCCAGATAAGGTGATCTGCATGGAAATGCACTGAAAATAAGCAGAAAAATTGCGTGAAGTTACAAGAAAGGTAGGAATAGTGTTTCTAATGATGATCAGTACACCGCCACCAGGAGTATCTCCCTCCCTATCGCATCTATAAACTATGTAGGGGTGACCGGCAACAAGGGTTTCATCGTTAATTTTTTGGGGTTTGCACCAGGACTCAGTGACAAACAAGCCAAAAGGGTTGCAAGAGAGCAGGTGATGCAGTTCGGGTAGCTTATTATTTATGGATCTGGCATTGAATAAAATGAATCTGTTAAAAACAACTGGCGCTAGATGGCACGAGAAGCCTCTATTTCCTGCGACGATGGTAAGCGCACACGTTCCACAGATGCCTGATGGTCAGAAGGGGTTCGATGAGGAAGCTCCCTGGGGTTCCTCAACTTATGGATCTGAAGGTCCCGCACGACATACTGTAGCTTGCCTACGCTCGCATTCCACTGACCCGCTTGTTTCCTCAGGGAGCGATCTAGCTCCAGCTCTTCAGCAGTGTAATCACGTCGTGCGTAAGAGTGGACAAACTGCTTTGTCAAGCTCTGTCGCCCTGACCGCATATGCCGTAGAAGTCTGTCCTTCAGATCCTGAGAGGGCAGGTTGATTTTTATAATTCTTCCTCGACCGCTAATTCCTCTCGGCTGCCCTGCCGGATGACGGTGGGCCGTGATGTTGCCTTTCTCGAACTCATCCATCAATTCTTTATCACCGGACGTCTCTATCACTTCCTTTAGTGCCTCCTTGTCAAATCTTCTTGTAGCAACATCGTCCTTCTGTTCATTCAGACCAATCCACGCTATCCTTCTTAACTTATCATCAATTTTCTTTTCGTCAGCTTTTACCCTGACAATCGTAGAGTACAGAGCATTCTGATTGACATCCTTTTTGGAGAGGTTCAAAACGCTGTTTTCCAGCTCCGAAAGGCGCTCTAGAATATTCTCCTGGCGTGAACTGATCTCCTCGATCTTGTCAAAGATCTTAGCGAATGAAGTTAGAAGGGCTTTTTCCAGTCTGTCCGCACAGGAGTCGTATTTCTCCATCAATTTCAGAGCCCAGAGAGGTAGCTCCTGCTCGTCACCATCGCTGGATTGATTCCTCTTCGCTCCACGAGCCATGACTGGACGGAGAGTAGCGAAACTTTTCGGAATAGGTCAATGTGCGGCCAGCAAAATCAATCCCCAACGGAAGATCGGCGACGGGGCTATGTAAAACCGGACGAGAAATCTAGGCAATTAGCACTAGACCCACTCAAACAGAAGGGGATTGCACAGAAGAGAATGCAAGGGATATGTCAGAGAAAAACAAAAAATGTTTTAAGAAGGAAAGACAATATTGAAAGAATTTCGCCGCCACTCGCGACCGATGACCGATATCGAATGACCGGCCTTTCACCACTGGTCAAATTAATTGATGCGAGAATGCCAAGAAGGAGCGCCTGAGAGGATCGTTCTATGACAATCCACCTTGACCTTGTTTAGAAGGCAC